TATTGAAATCAAAGTGCTTAACAACAACCCTAGCCAGTGTGGCTCAATTGATAGAGCGTCGGCCTGCAGACTGAAGGGTTCTGGGTTTGATTCCGATCAAGGGAATGTGTCCAGGTTGTGGGCTCCATCCCCAGTAGGGGGCGTGCAGGAGGCAGCTGGTCCATGATTCTGTCTCATCATGGATATTTCTCTCTCTCTCTCCCTCCCCCCCCTTTCCTCTCTGAAATAAAAAAACATATTTTTTGAAAAGTACTTAAAAACAAAAAGTAGTTCATACTCCTCAGATGTATAAAGAAAATTCATTTTCTATAATTGCTGTATTTCCCCCAAACCCATGTAAAGGGTAGGTTTCAACGTGTGCGCTTAGTGTGTTGTAGTCATGTAAATCACGGGTTAGGTAACTGAGCCACTTTTAGGTAAACGATCAGACCCTCAGATTTAGTCCCGCTTTACAAGATTCCGTACTTCGTACAAGACTTTTTTAGGGATAGAAATTTGGTGAGAGAAGGCTCGGGTATTTTTGTGTGTTTTTTAAAGATGTTTGTATTGATTTCAGAGAGGAAGGGCGAGGGAGAGATGGAAACACCAATGATGAGAGAGTCATGGACCAGCTGCCTCCACAACCCCGACGGGGGACTGAGCATGTTATAAATAGCCACAGGGCCCTGGGCAGAAAAACAGGGTCCCCACCCTGGCTTGGCTCGAGGTGAAGGGGCCCAGCTCTCCCACCCCCACATTCACAGGCTCCCTCTTCCTTGTCTGGGCACTTCTCTCCCTCCCTCCACCCGCCTGGGTTTCTGCCTCCCAGGAGAAGAACAGGACACCTGATGAGCTCCGCCTCTCGCCTTTATTCCTCCTTTTCTCCGGGTTCTGGGAGGACACGCCTTCCCTTTCCTGCGTGTTGCACCCCCACTGTTCCCACCCCGTGGCCTCTGGGAGGAGATCTCTGTGACCCATCTTGCCTTGCTTGGCTCGGGGTGGGTGGACCGGAGCCTGAAGGATCTCAGTGCCTCCCCTGCCCTTACTGAGGGACTCGGGCCCAGGGGCGGAAGGCTGCGAGGAAGTGGCCACTGACCAGGAAATGAAAGCATGTTGCTGTCATATGTCCAGGGCATTATCCCTGTTACATCTAGCTCACTGGGCGTGCATCTGGCTGGTTATTAAAAACCGCTGAAGCGGAGTCAGCTCTGCAAGCCCAGGGGCAGCGCTGCACAGCCTGCTGGCTTCCGGAGGAGGCAGCAGGGAGCGAGGAGGAGCCTGGGCGAGGAGGCGATGATCATAGCCTGGCTTCCTGCCGGTTGGCCCGGCGTTTGCAATGGGAGCAGCCCTGGACCCAGTCAGCTGAGTGGCGCTCCCACTGTGGCAGCACCCTGACCACCAGGGGCCAGCTCCTGGGTTGAGCACCTGCCCCCTGGTGGTCAGTGCAGGTCATAGCAACCAGTCAGCTTGTTCGGTCATTTGGTCGCTTAGGGTTTTATATATATAGATTGCCTACTTGGTGTGGCTCAGTGGTTGAGCGTTGAGCATCGACCTATGAACCAGGAGGTCACGGTTCGATTCCTGGTCAGGGCACATGGCCCGGGTTTGGGCTCGATCCCCAGTGGGGGGGGTGCAGGAGGGGGCCAATCAGTGATTCTCTCTCATCATGGATGTTTCTCTCTCTCCCTCTCCCTCTTCCTTCCTCTCTGAAATCGATAAAAATATATGTATTTTTCGAAAAGAATGTAACTGATTTTGTCACCGACCACAGCTGATGGACGTGGCTGTGGCCTCTGAGAAGGAGCGGCCATCAGGCCTGTCATCTGGGCCTTTGCTCGGGTTCAGGCGGGCAAGTCATCCGCTCAGGATCAAACACTTGACGGTCAAAGGTTCCTCTTTCTCTCTGCTCCCACCTGCAGCCCGGGTGCGTGAACACCACGGAAGTGGACATCAAGAAGTCGTCGCGAATGAGAAACCCACACAAAACCCGGAAGGTAAGACCCCACCCTCACCCCCCTGGGCGTCGTGCTGACCTCAGGAATGACCTCTGCAGACGGCGGCCGTGAACACCTCTGCCCCCCCTTCATCCAGAGCCTTCGAGTGTCTCCCCTGCTCGTCCTTGTCGCTTGGCCAGAGGAAAAGCTTGGCCCTCAAGCCCCCGTGTCCTCCGGTCTCCTGAGGACCCCGCCCCCTCCTGGGGCAGCAGGTGTCTGTGCCAGGGAGGGGGGAAGGCTGCCGAGGGCCCCCCAACCCTCCATCAGGGAGAAGGGACCATCAGCAATGGGAGGCCTCTTTCAGAGACCAGGCGACGATGAAATGGAGACAGGGACTAGGTGAGAAAAATGGTGCTCATGAGAGAAAGGCATTTTAGGTTTTTTAATAATATGTTTGTATTTATGTTAGAGAGGAAGGGGGGGAGAGAGAGAGAGAAAGAGAGAGAGAGGGGCATCAAGTTCATAACCTAACCACGCCTTTTTTTCAGAGCTGTGCTTCTGTTTTACATCCCTAAGATATTTAGGATAGCGGTGCCTTTTTAAAAAAATATATATTTTATTGATTTTTTACAGAGAGGAGGGAGAGGCATAGAGAGTTAGAAACATCAATGAGAGAGAAACATTGATCAGCTGCCTCCTGCACAGTTACAGCCATGCCTTTTGAATTTTGATCAGAAGCTTAAACAGATCTGCCTCGAGGTTACCTTCCTGAATATATCACACAAAATCACCTGTCAGCAACTCTGTGACTGCCCATGCTGTTCTGTCTTAACCTGTTTCTTTTTTTTTTTTTTCATTTCATATAGTCTGTCTATGGTTTACAAAACGATATTCGAAGTCACAGTCCCACCCACACACCCACGCCAGAAACAAAACCTCCCACAGAAGATGAATTACAGGAGCAGGTGGGTTGACCTGTACCATGGCCTGTTAATGGTTTGCAGAGGAGCAGCTATGAAAACCAGGCGGTGAATGTGTAATAACAGGTGTTTTAAAAGCTTACTCGTAGGGTTGACTGTTTCATAGGGAAGAATTTTCCATTAAAAAGTAATGAAATTGGCTCATTGTAAGATAGGTAGTCAAAACTCCTCAGTATGTAACTCCCCAGTCCTTTATTCTCTACCCCATGTTTTAAAGTCACACGCACTAGTTTATTTTGTACCCCAACACGGGGTCTTATAGAATGAGAAGACCACATGTTGTCTACATCGCCATGGCTTCACCATGTCCAATCATGTGACATGATTTTCACAAATGAGTGATTATTCTTGTTTCTACAGTCTGGTTTCTAACTCTATATGCCTCTTGAAGTTTTTCCTTATCAACAACGCTTTGAAAACCAATAAAAAATATATATTTAAAAAACATAAAATATGTATAACACTTTAACAGAAAGTTACATTTTGTTAAAGCAGGCAGAATATTTAAATTCATTGCTGTTCTACAGCTATTGGTTATATTTACATTGAAGCAGATTTTAAATTTTTTAGCTCTTTCAGATCTCTCATGATTTTTTTTTAACAGACTTTGGAATTTTACTGATGTAGAACATGTTCTTGTTTGGAATTTCCCAGTTTATCAGAACTTAGAGCTGAATATTATGAAAATTAGAGCTGAAAATTATATACTTGCTACTTACCTAGTAAATAACTATTTCTTTAACTCTGTTTTCAGATAAACTATTGGCAAATACAGTTAGATAGACATCGGTTAAAAATGTCAAAAGTTGCTGATAGGTAAGTATTTGGAGATGTCCTTATACACTTCAACTTTTTATCTGACAATGAAATCTGATAAAAAAAATGATAACTGTTGGAAGGCGGCTGAGATAAGTGATTGGAACCCCGTCATAAATGTTATTTTGTTTTTCCTCATTTGTTTTTGAATATTTTTATGGATTTCAGAGAGGAAGGGAGAGGGAGAGAGAAACGTCAATGATGCGAGAGAATCATTGATCAGCTGCCTCCTGCACTCCCCCTACTGGGGGCAGAGCCCACAACCCCGGAATCGAACCGTGACCTCCTGGTTCATAGGTCAACGCTCAATCACTGAGCCAAACCAGCTGGGCTGTCCTGTTGCAGTTTAAATTAATTACAGAATGATCCGTATTGTCTTGCATCCCTAGAGGTCCAATCCTTGTGCAGCCAGAATCTCATACAGGAGATAATTCCAGGGCCCTGAATCTTCTCCCTCCTGCTGGGAGAAGTGGCCCTTTCACCTTCTGAATTTGGCCTTTCTTTAAATTCACATTGAGTTATTGCAGAACCTCAAAATTGGAATTAAACTCAGGTTTTATATTTTTCCCATTTCTTTATTTAAATCTGTTCTAAATATCCCTTGTGTTCTGCACTTTGAGGCATTGTCAGATCCTACCTCTTCAACTTTTTTCCTCTCCTCCTCTTACTTTAACTTCTAAATATGATTTTAAAAATGTTTTGCTCAGCGAGTCATTCCCCTTTTACCTAATTTCTATAAATACTTTGGAAAAAAATGACTTTTTAACCTCTTTTCCGAGTTGGCTCAAATCACTTCAGCTGCGGGCGGCTGGTCGACCAAGGATTGGAGCTGGCCCTTAGCCCTGCCCTTCACACACTGATCTCTTCTGTTCTGTTTATTGTAAACGGAGGGATATTGGCTCACACGGCGTAGGCATGTGGGGGCGGGGAGGATCCTTGGCCATATTTGTCTTCTGAGAAGCACAATAAGTGAATGCATGTAAATTATTGAAATGTGAAAGCGGCCATTGGATTTCATGCTGGAAACCAGCACGGATTCCTTGGCCACACATTTTCATAGTGTCCCTTACTTTGGGCTGGTATTAACCTCAGCCAGACAGCTGAGGGAGATGAATATGTTTCTTCTCTCCAGTCTGCTAAGCTACACGGAACAGTATTTAGACTACGACCCATTTTTTGTGCTGCCTGACCCTTCCAACCCATGGCTGTCTGACGACACTACTTTCTGGGAACTGGAAGCGAGGTGAGTGCCATGTTCCCGTCCCTCAAAATATTTCCCTGATTTCAGCATTTGGGTTCAACAGGAAGGAGCCTGTAGCTGAGTCGTGGTCCCCGTAATTTTACTCGGTGTCTACATTAGCCCGTGATATAGCGTTCTTACTATAAAGGCAATGGCTTTGAACCTTGGCTATTTGAATTTGCATTAATATTTGCATTTCCAAAAGACTAGTGCAGAATAGAGGCGTAAAGGTTAGGGTAGACCAGTCAGAATTGGGATCTTCGGTTCTTTAAATTTAGCTTATTGTCTTAGCTTCCTTAAAAGCCCACGTAGGCACAAGGGCCCATGTGTTCAAGTAAAAATGAATCCTAACTCCATACCTAAGTAAACATTCAATTTTAAAACAAAAGGACCTCCCTCTAAGAGAAATTGGCAAGAGACTGGCTTCTTAAGAAAACCAAAGCACCACTTAGGACTCCCTGGTTTCTTGCCCGAGCCAGGAAAGAATCCTATTACCAGTCTTGACCAAGTGATGAAAAGACCATTGCATGTCGCTTCATAGAGGGAGCCTTCTGTATCCTGTAGCACTTCCCCACCTTGGATGTGGGGACCTTCTCTTTCTTTTGCCTCCATGCAGGGCTTCTTAAATGCTTGAGCTTCACAAAGCTCTGGATGTGTAGGTTCTGGATTTCACAGATGGGGACCTAGAATTCCAAAGGGCTGATGCTCCCCCAGGATTAGGTCACACGTTTAATTGACAGCGGAATCATCAATGAGGACGTAGGCCTTTCGGTTCCCAGTGCATTTTCTCCCCAGACAGCATGCCACAATGCGACCGCCTGGGGGTGTGGCCACAAACTTGGGCTGTGGGGTCAGAGTGTGTGCCATTTGCCCCTGATCTCCTGCCTGTCGTTGGCAAGTAGTAACCCTCTCTGTGCTGCGGTTTCATCGTCTACCAGATGAGAATTAAAATAGTACCAATCTCATAAAGTTGTTGAAAGACACTAGGAGAATCCATATGGTGAAAAAAACTCAAAGATCCAACCGGTGCTCAACTGCCCGTAGACTTCATTATCGATGCCTCGCTTACACCTCACTACCACTGCATTCAGGGTCATCAGTCTGAGATTTCCCCGCCCCCCTGAGAGTTCAGTTAAAGACGGGAATGTCAAGACATACATGGTTCTGAGAGGAAATGTAATGGCAGCAAATAGGGCTTGTACTGCACGGAATGTGTCTGGTTTGCTCTTGTCTCCTCAAGCAAAGAACCGAGCCAGCAGCGGGTCAAACGGTGGGGCTTTGGAATGGACGAAGCGTTGAAAGACCCCGTTGGGAGAGAGCAGTTCCTCAAATTCCTAGAGTCAGAATTCAGCTCAGAAAACCTGAGGTAAGACGTTAGGTTGTTGGGTTGCAGCTTCCTCTCCTCCTTCAAGGTCACGGGAAGCTTCTCAAGGTTATGAGAGCTACAGTTGCTAAGGATTTCCTTGAGCCTCCCGAGGGACATTTTGTCTATTCAGGTTGCATCATCATTTTTTTTTATTCCATCCTATATAATAAAAGCCTACTATGCTAAGAGTCCGGTCGACCAGTCGGCCATTCAACCAATCAAAGCGTAATATGCTAATGCTATGCCAAGGTCACTCAATCACTCGCGATGACGTGCACTAACCACCAGGGGGTTTATTTTTACCCTGTCTTGACCCATAAAAAAATATTTTTATTGATTTCAGAGAGGAAGGGAGAGGGAGAGAGAGATAGAAACATCAGTGATGAGAGAGACTCATGGATCGGCTGCCTGCTGCCTTCCCCACACTGGGGATCGAGCCCGCAACCCAGGCCTGTGCCCTTGACCAGAATGGAACCCAGGACCCTTCAGTCCACAGACCAAAACTCTATCCACGGAGCCAAACTGGCCAGGGCTAACCATTTCTTATCTCAGAAATTCTATGCCCACTGGTTTCCCTGCTAAGGAATTGCGTATGAAACATTCCATCTATCACATATATGTGACGGGTTTCGATGCCCCTGCAAATGTAAGCCTTTGGGCTGTTGCCTGGGAGAGCTTCCTGCCTCTGCCATCCCATCATGCTCTGCATTAAATGGCCCAAAATTAGCTACTTGCCCTGATTTCTCCAGCGAGGGCCGTTCTGAGTTGAGCCCAGAGCCCTTTTAACTCCAGGAAAGGTTGGGTGTAATCCCCTTGCCAGGCAGAGCAGAAAGTCCTCTCTGTGCCGACCCTCAGCGCTCAAATGGACACAGGCCCAGAGACTACAGGACAGTGCCCGGCTCTATCCCCCCATCATATGCTGTATGTCACTCACCCTGGGACCCTCCAAACCCTAGTTCCTCTCTCATAAATGTGTCTTCCCAGCTTCAATGAAATGGAGGTTGCACAGAATGGGGGCTCTGGCCGATCCACTTTTTTTTTTAAAGATATTTTTATTGATTTCAGAGAGGAAGGGAGAAGGAGAGAGAGAAACATCAATGATGAGAGAGAATCATGGATCAGCTGCCTCCTGCATGCCCCACCCTGGGGATGGAGCCTGCAACCTGGGCCTGTGCCCTGACCTGGAATCGAACCCTGATCTCCTGGTTCATAGGTCAACGCTCAACCACTGAGCCACACCCGCCAGGCATGGCCGATCCACTTTTAACAGCAAACACTTAAATTATTTTCAGTATTTCCTTATGAAACATTTTACACCTTTGAATACAACTAATAAAAAAAAAATCGGTAAAGGCTCAATGTAGGAAGCCCTCAGAGAAAGTGAATTCATCCTTAGGCATCATTGTGGATCGATTTTATGAGGATTTTCAGATTATGAGACATTGTGTAACCAGACAATCAATGGGTCCGGGCTGCCTGTCACGACGTGAGCCAATTCAGCAGAGACAGGGGTGAGTCCTAGATGAGCGTTGATCCCAGTCCTGCGGGCAGCGTGGAGAGCAGCAGGGCACCCACAAACATCTGCTCTGCTCCCCCCCCCGTAAACCAGCTGCTTATATTGGGGAGAAGGACCAAGATCACTTGGGAAAGTAGGTAGATGGGCTAGTGGGCAGTTTCTGCTGCAAAATTGTTAATATTGTCATGATCACAGGCAGCGCCCAGGTGGGGAGGAGGGGCCACATGTCCGGGTGAGCGCCCAGGCCCACAGGCTGCTCCCAGCCAGGTTAGGGGGTGCCTCCTCCAGTCAGAACAGCACCATCGCGGCCAACGGAGCGTGATGACTGTCCCTTACCATCCTCGCTGGTCCCCAACAGCCTGTCTCCGCCCCATCCACCGGAGTGAATGCTCGGTGTCGCCCCACGCAGGTTCTGGCTGGCGGTGGAGGACTTGAAGAAAAGGCCCATCAGGGAAGTGCCCTCTCGGGTGCAGGAAATATGGCAGGAATTCCTGGCTCCGGGAGCCCCGAGTGCCATCAACTTGGACTCCAAGAGCTACGACAAAACCACGCAGAACGTGAAGGAGCCCGGACGGTACACGTTCGAAGATGCCCAGGTGGGTGCACGTGGGCCTCGCGTGGTGTCACGCACGTGCTCCCACGGAGTCGGTGGGCGGAGAGACTTGTATTTTGCTTTTCTTGTCATGGGCAGCCGTGTCCTATATTCCAGCTTAGGTCACGGTGTGTGACCTAACTCCGATCGATCTGGGAGAGTACAGGTCGTGACCCCTGAAAATACATCCTGCGTATCAGATATGTACATGACGATTCGTAACAGTAGTAACATGACAGTGATGAAGTAGCCACGGAAATAATTTTATGGTTGGGGGTCCCCACAACGTGAGGAACTGTATGAAAGAGTCACGGCATCAGGAAGGTTGAGAGCCACTGCTCTAGAGTGACCTGTTTTGAAAAGCCTGGGAATGTTTGTAAATGTATATGGTTTGGTGTGAACATTTGGTTTGATGTGAATATTTGAAATATTTGAAACCTTTTACTTCATTTTCTACTCTGTCACCCAATAGTAGGTGAGCAAGCATTTATCCAAAGTGGCCCTGGGGTGGGGGTGGCAGGGCGGGGGTACGGGAGTGGGGGAGAGATCAGCCAAAGACCTTGTATACAGATATGCATAACCCATGGACACAGACAATAGAGGGACATATGTAAAATCAACAAGAGGTTGAAAAAATATATAAAAATAATTTTTTTGGAAATTAAAAACAACAACAAAGTGACCCAACCTCAGTAACACATTCGACCCCTTCAGGTGTCTTTCAATATAGAGATTCTAAGACACTGCTATTTCTAAATGATTTATTATTACGCATCGTCAGAACTAAATTAAAGTAGCGTAAGATATGCCAGGCTTAAACCCGATTCGGCACTGATGAGAAAGTGGAATGCTAGATTCAGGCACTTGTTCATTTTCCAAGTTAATTTTTCAGTCTGCGAAAAGAAACGAAAGGAAATTTAGATGAAGATATTAACTTCCTGAGTCAAAATTCCAGTTTTTTTCCCCCTCAAATCAGACATAATCTCCCCCTTCAGAACAATTTGAATTTCCACTTTCGCTAAGAAAATATTATTCTCAAGAAGAAAGATAAACTTGTAACGAGAGGATATTATTTCCTAACGATGTGTTGCAGCTGGCCTTTTTAAATCAGAGCACGCATCCTTCATAATTTCTTCAGCCACCTTTAGAAAAGGATATTAACTCTAGGACGCATGTCGTATGTTAAATAACGGTGTTACTAAATACAATACAGTATAGAACATGAACAGCGGGCTACACAAATGCCCTTCCTTGATTTTACTCCCAGCTGAAAATATTTCCCCCTGAGGAGGAAACGAACACAGCTAACTGAACTGCCGTCCTCCCTCTGTGCTAAGCTCTCCCATGTGGAAATAATTCTGTCCGACAGAGACACGAGTCAGGGACCAGGATAAAAACCCTGGCCTGGCTTGCTTCTCTGCTTATTTATTTTGTATTTCAGTTCAAGATACAATTCCCAACATTTTTTTTTCCGGAGCCAACAATGCGTACGTAAACTGCTTGGCAGAACCTTCCTTGAAGTGGTAAAAGGAATATTTAGCCCTGGCCTGTGTTGCTAAATGGTTAGAGCGCTGGCCTGCACACTCAAGGGTCTCCGGTTGGATTCCCGGTCAAGGGCATGTACCTGGGTTGCTGGTTCGATCCTGGCCCCGGTCAGAGCACATGCGGGAGACAACCGATCAATATGTCTTCCTCACGGCGATGATTTTCTCTCTCTCCCTCTCTCCCACGTTCCGTCTCTCCCCCTTCCTCTCTCGAAGCTTGTCCTCCATCCATTTTATAAAATGGATGTGAAAGGGTTACCAGCCTTGCCGAGGCTCTGCGAGGACTACATTAACTCATACAGGCGCGCACTCAGACGCGAACCTGGCATAGACTCAAGTAGATTTGAGTGCTCTGCTCAACACTTACCATCCCTTTCATTCTCACGAGAACTGTATATTCTGCATTAGAAATGAAAGCGGAGGGAAATGGGTAAATTGGCCCAAATTTGTACCGTGTGACTGAGATCTTTAGCAAGAGAGTGTCTGACTCCCATAATGCCTGACTCCAGAACAAAGACATGATTTCACTCTTAACAGCTACAAACCGATACGGTTTTCAATGTCCCGGACGCTTGGAGAGGAACCTGGGGCTAGAGCAGCGGTTCTCAACCTTCCTCATGCCGCGACCCTTTAATAGGGTTCCTCATGTTGTGGTGACCCCCAATTTCTTTGTTACAAATGGAACATCATGAAAGCATAGTGATGAATCACAAAAACAATATGTAAGTATCTATGTGTTTTCCGATGGTCTTAGGCGACCCCTGTGAAAGGGTCGTTCGACCCCCAAAGGGGCCGCGACCCACAGGTTGAGAACCGCTGGGCTAGAGCGAGGCTTCATCCTCACGTATTGACGTGCATTCAGAGCAACTCCACGTTATTGCTGGTGTGTTTGAGACGACGAAACCTGAGTCATTTCTAAAATTATTAATATTTTCTCCAAATAAGAAAAAGACTGGGACATCCAGACACTCTCAGAGGGTTCGAAATTCGACATTGACCTGGAGTAGTTGGAAGCGCTAGCAGATTGATTTATCTTCCCCAATAATCCATAGCAATCAACAACTTGATGTAGAATCCCTTTATGACATTCTGTTAACGAAATTCCATTGACGTGCTGTGCAGCTCCTCAGCCAGTTTTAAAATTGATTTATGAATAAGATAATGAATTTGAGGATCTGCTTGTTCTGTCAGCATAAGGTGTTCTCGGCAGCAGCAGAATCAGCCTTAATTGCTACCTGCTTCCAGATTGGTTTCCCACCTGTCTGTTGTCTTCTGATCATGGTGGTTGGTTTCCCCTGAGAAATGACGGGGCCGCGCCCTAACCATTCTTTCTTTCCAGGAGCACATTTACAAACTGATGAAAAGTGATTCATACCCACGTTTTATACGATCCAGTGCCTACCAGGAGCTTCTACAGGCAAAGAAAAAGGTACCGGTTCTTTGTGACCTTTTGAAATCGGGGTCTCAGTTGTAATTCTTTGGAGTGGTGACCTCCATGGGGCCCCGGGGAAGTGGACGAAGGGTAAGTGAACACACCCTGAGACCCTCCCCAAACCTGTGCATTTTATAAGAGCCATTTCAGTTCTCTTTGCTTCTCTTTGTTGATCGCTTATTTTCTTTTTTGTTTGTTTCTGTAGATGTTCTTGCTTTACAACGTGTTTTTTTTAAGCTGTTTTTCATGTTTCATGTTAGTCTTCGATATGCCTAGTTCAAGGAAATAAAAAATTGCAGTAGCCCGGCGTTGTGGCTCAGTGGTTGAGCATCGACCTAGGAGGTCACGGTTCAATTCCCTGTCAGGGCACATGCCCGGGGTGCGGGCTCGATCCCCAGTAGGGGGCATGCAGGAGGCAGCCGATCCATGATTCTCTCTCATCACCGATGTTTCTCTCTCCCTCTCCCTTCTTTTCTGAAATCAATAAAAAGATTTTTAAAAAATAACAAGAAAATAAAGTCTTTAATAAAAGGAGGCCGTCCTTAGCAGCTCGGCCCCCTCCCGGCCCCCATGGGTTAGGACATGATTTGGTGTTTTATCATTTCCTCTCCTGTGTCTTTCTGCTCTGCTTTCTTTTCTTTTCTTTTTTTTTTTTTTACGTTCCCTGTTTCCCTTTGCCTTGCCCCACCCCGCACGTGTTAAGTCGGAACCCTCCATGGATCGCAGAACATCTTTTGAGAAATTTGCACAGAATGTGGTAAGTCTTCTTTGGGGAGGAATGACGCATCCTTAAGTCCAATCAAGCAACGTCCCCAGTTTCTCACCCCCGTCTCCCACTCGGGTGTAACAGCCAAGGTGCTGCCTCGATTCAAATCCAGAACTTGGTTTCTATCTACCCTTGGGTCTCAGCCCTTTCCAGGGTAGAAAAAGAAGTCTCCTGTGAAAAACTACAAGTCCCAATCAAACTAAGGTTTGCAGAGACCCCCTATGTTATAATACGAAAAATGAAGAAATCATTATTTTCTTCCGTTTTTCTTTTTATTCACTCTATCCCTTTATTAAAGAGAGTGCCTGGGTTTCTGTGATCTCCCCCTTGGCTCTCTGTAACGCTGAAAAGATTAAGAACAATGAGGGGGGGCCCATGCTTTCTACGTCTATAGGGAGAAAATGACCTATTTGGTCCGAATGGTGGCCGGTGACAAGCTATGCCCCTCACTGGCTCGCCACCAGGCCGCCCTTCTCCTTTCCTGTTCAGGAAAGCTGTTGAAAGTTGTTGCAGATTTCATTCGTTTTCTTAGCCTCTAGCCATGTGTTTGGGTGATATATTTGTATGTGGGATTGTTCCTCCTCTTCTTTTTTTTCTTTGTATTGTGCCAGTGCCTTGGGGACTTTCCGACCTGGTGCGAGCTCCAACTAAAGCCTTGACCGCATTTATTTTTATAGGGCAGGAACCTCCCCATTTTCCCATGCCATAAAAACTGTACTCCAACACTGAGAGCCAGCACTAACCTGTTATGAAAAGAGGTAGACCACTCTTGGTTTCTACTCCAGTTCGTCCGCATTGTCTGTGGAGTTGTCTGGTTAGCTCCATGCTGCTGTGCGTGTATGTGTGTGTGTGTGTGTGTGTGGTGTGCTGTGTTGTGGCTTCTGCTGTGACGGCTCGTTCAGTGGAGTTGTGTGTGTTGAAACGTCAGCCAATTGGATTCAACAAAGAGGTGGTGTTTGCTTTTAGTTTCCTTCCAAGATCTTGGCGGTGGGGAATGTCCGTCGGCTGTGTTTCCAAATGGCACGTGGTGACCGTGTGCAGGGATTTTTGAAAGACGGTAAAGAGCAGTGTCCACTTTGAACATTCCACGGGGTTGTACAAAGTGAAGGGCTGGGACACGCCGGGCCCCGGGAATGGATCACATTAGAAACTTCCCACCATTTTGGCGGGTTCTGTTGCCGTCTCTGACCTTTAATATGAGATGTCACCACGGGAAGGGAAGGGAAAAGAAACGCATCAAGATTTTGGCGGAGAAAGTTGCACCGTGCTCAGTATATTGTGTAAGAATCGTTTCCAATTCGTCCTTTCCCAATGTAATGCCGACAGAATATTGTTCATGAGGCTAGAGTGGACGTTTCTGTGATAGAATTAAAAACAATACTGCAACTTAAGGAAGATGGGAAGGGGAAGCCAAATGGATGTCTTTCCTCCAACCCCATCCCTGATTCTGACCAAGTTCCCCAACTCTTAAAACAGCACCACATTTACTTGTTGTTTTGATGTTTTCAGATTCCACATATAAGTAAAAGCATATGGTATTTGTGTTTCTCTGTCTGACTTACTTCGCTTAACGCAATACCGTTTAGGTTCACCCATGTTGTCATAAATGACAAGATCTTATTATTCTTTTGATGAATATTATTTTATTATATATATTACATGTATTAGATATAGATATAGATATAGATATAGATATAGATATAGATATAGATATAGATATAGATATATACTAGAGGACACATATATATATATACACACACACACACACACACATAGAGAGAGAGAGAGATATACAGACAGTCCTCAGGGATACGTCAGACTTGAAGTATGTCGTTTCATGGTTACGTCGCTATCTCCCATTTGTTTATTAAAAAAAGTTTGTCATTTGACATATGTGCTTTATGTTATTATTTATTTACCACAAGTGCTCCCATCTCTTCTTTATTCATTTAGCTATCACGGGACACCAAGGTTGCTTCCATATCTTGGCCCTTGTAAATAATGCTGCAATACACATAGGGCTGCAGATATGTTTTCCAATTAGTGTTTTCATTTTAGAGGATGGGTGGAAAGGGTGAAGGGGGAGAAGAAGTGCAGACTTCCTGTTATGAAATAAATCAATCCCTGGGATAGAATGTACAGCAGAGGGGATACAGTCAGTAACATCACAACAACATCGTGTGGTGACAGATGATTACTCGGTTTATTGTGGGGATCACATTGTAAGGGATATAAAGGCAGAATGACTCCATTGAACAATTAAAACAATATGCTATACTATTGTATGTCAACTATACTTCATTTTCTTTTCTTTTTCTTTTGTTTTTATGTTAACTTTTATTGTTGAAAGTATTATATGTACCCCTTTTGTCCCCCCATTAACCTCTTCTAGCCCGCCCCCCCATCCTTGCCCTAGGCCTTCACCATCCTACTTTTATCTATTTTTGTTTAATCTGACCCTGCACATTAGGTATGATCATAGTCATTATTTCACAAGTGAGAAAACTGAAGGGTCAGAGGAGGAACATGATTGGCCCAGAATCACACCTAGTTGCCCAAGAGGGACATAATTTGCCCAGCTGGCACTGACCCAAAATTTATTATGTTCCCAAATTTTTTCCCTCCCACTGATCACCTTGCTCCTTGATAAATGCTGCGGCCGGGTGACACCCTCCTCTGGAGGGTGAGCCCATTTTCAATTCGTGTTTCTTTGTGGAAGTTTAGTGTCCTGGTCCTGCATATTGTTATAACCTGGTTCTAGAAATAGCATCACACGTCCTAGCTGGTTTGATTCAGTGGATAGAGCATCAGCCTGTAGACTGAAGGGTCCCAGGTTCGATTCCAGTCAAGGGCACATGCCCAGGTTGCGGGCTCGATCCCCGAGAGGGGGCGTGCAGGAGGCAGCCGATCAGTGATTCTCATCATTGATGTTTCTCTCTCTCTCTCCCTCTCCCTTCCTCTCTGAAATCAGTAAAGATATATTTTTAAAAAAAAAAAAAGCTACTAAGGTGTGTGAGTCCACGGTTGTCAAACTGGCTGGCTGGCTGCCTTGCCATAGTTCAGTCTGCAGGTGTAAAGAGGGACTGTACAAGCTGATCACCAAGCAGCACTTGAAGTACCTGGCAGTTTTGT